TTGAGCTGCTGCAGTGTTTACCGTTACTTTCTTTGTTTCACATACCACAAAGGATTTGTTAAAGGAAATAGATTTACCAGGAAATAGTCTGGGTGGTTCAGGAAAAAGTGATGTTTTTCCTGTAAACAAAAACTGAAGTGATTCAAATGGATCAACATGTTAGGTGTCCTTTTTTTCCAATTTTTTCCCCCCAATATAAAAACTATACTTTTAACAGAGGGAGAATTCCATTTTTAAGTATTATAATAAAAAAAACAAATGCCAGCTAATAGTGTTTTATATGTATATCAGGGTTTTTCTTTTTTTTGGTCTTATATTGTTTTAAAGGTAGATAAAATCAGTAAGGGTAGAGTCTATATTAAAACTCATCTCAAAATGAGCATCAGATAAGAAAACTCATTTTGAGAGTTTGACCTGCCCGGATTTTTGTCCTCGTTTATGTTCTGGATTTGGCGTGAGCCTGAGGAGATTGCCTTGTCTTCCAACTCTGGAGTCATACATCATACGTTTATTTTCATTCTAATTAACCAGTTCCTGGGCCTTCTAGAAAGGCGCTTTTCTTTGTAATAGAAAGCACATTTTCTTTTAACCTGAGCTTCTGCACATATGAAACATTACACAACTCTAAACTCATCACTGTGACCCAGATTTTAGAGATCAAGGATTTCTAATCTCTGATATCAGTCTGAATAAAAGTTTAATAGAGGAGGATCCACATGGAAGAGGTACATCTGTACTTTATGGAGCTCATCTCTGTTAGGCACTCTATGTTTATATATGTTGTGTTTATGGGTATAGATGTACTTTGAGAATACCAATGATAACATTGGTTTAGGGATGCCAAGCTCTGGTCTTTAAAGGGGAACGCCGATTTTTTTATTTTTATTTTTTTACATTGGGTCCTTGATTTTACGTTATTACATCATGTTCTACTCACCCATATGAGTTTTGTGTCATTTGGGGCTTTTCCGAAGATATTCTGTTTTGTAATATCCAAGTAACGTCTTCCTATGGGCAACAACTTGAAGGCACAAACAAAATTTATAATTTATGATACGCCAGCATTCATAACATGTAGGTGAATCACTTTCCCCCAGACATCCGCTGACACGTGTATGACTTCATCTGCGCGCTCCGGCTAGCATTCCTTCTTCCTGTCCGCTGAACTGGTGCTAGTTTTACTCACATGCCTGGAAGATGTCTAGTGCTACTACCACAGATGATCTCGCTCTTGAAATGGAATTGAACGATTCAGATTAGCTAGCCGAATGAATAGAAGGGGTAGAGCGTAGCCGCCTGTGGCCCGGGCTTCCTGTCACAACTCCAGTCCGGTGCACGGATGACGTCATACTGACGTCATACGCACTCCGCTTTTAAAAAAAATATATAAATATAAAAAATATAACCGCAGATGTCTGCGGGACAGTGATTCGCCTACATGTTATGAATGCTGACGTACCATAAATGGTAAATTATGAACAATTTAGTTTGTGCCTTTAAGTCGTTGCCCATAGGAAAACGCTACTTGGATATAACAAAACAGAATATCTTCAGAACAGCTCCAAATGACACAAAACTCATATGGGTGAGTAGAACATGATGTAATAATGTAAAAAAAAAAACAAAAAAAAAACTGCATTCCCCTTTAAGAATTATTGACTCTCCTGCAACATTTTGCCAAATAACTTCATTAACAAACCTAAATGGTTGATTAGCAGGAAGCTAAAGCTATTTTTAATATGAATCCATATATGGTATACTGAACAGTGATGCACCGATACCATTTTGAGAGCCAAAAGTTTATTAATCTATGTCACCCATTCCAGGTAGGCAATAAAAAGTTCTACTGGATTCACTTTGTATTAGTCTTTTTCCTGCTTCACAAAGGTAGGCAGCAGCTTGACAGAGCCATGATGGCAATTATTTTACATCCAAGTATTAAGCAGTTCTTCATATATACATACATACACACGGTGTCTGTATCGGTGTCCGGTATCTGTATTGGGGCCAAAAAATGGCATTGGCTCAACACTAATAATGAAAGTTGCTGATGATTTTTTTTCATGTTTGAGTAAAAAAAACAAGAAAAAGAAAATGATTTGTTTGAGGTCACATCCTTTAGAGAGCGTTTGTTCATGTTGGACATCTGTCAATGATTTGTTTCTCACCTTTAGATGCTGTAGTGTAATCTAAGAGAGCGTCTAGATGCAGGTCAGTATGGGGCCTCTGTGTGCCGTCTTATTTATTTATATCATGGGGCAGATGCTTCAATAAGCTGAAGCAGCTGGGTGGAGTTTTAGCATCTTCTTCAAAGGGATGAAAGAGGAAAACAATGTTGAACCCACATTCATCCTCCCTCTGTATTTTATTTTTGTTTTGCCAACATTAATGTGCCAGAAGTTTCCTCCAATACTTCTGATTCTTCAGGACCCCCAGCTTGAGTTGCCCTCATCTTGAGCTGCTGTTGCTATTGCAATGGATATGTGGTATGAAGCGTTTCTGTCGTAAACTCTATGATTTTGATTTTTAATAAGAAATGCATGTTAGTATCTCATTTATGGCTGGAACTATAGATCAATTTGCTAATCAAATTTGTTTACTACTTTCTGATTTGACTCTTAATCTGACAAAAACATTCATAAATAGGTTTTACAGAATTTAAACAAGGTGAAGCTAACTTAGACTAATATTATTGTCAATTTTTATGCATAGGGTGTATACAGAACAATATTGAGTTGCATGTGGTGCAGGACATTGTATTAAAGTTCCAGTGAAATTAAAGCACATTATTGAGTGCAGGTAACCTGTCAGATAAGGAGATCTGGATAGAGCAAATGTTCCTAGTTGAATAAAGAATCAATTTTTGTAGTTTCAGCTTATTTACCGGTAAGCTGGCTCTTATAGCAAATGGTGTTTTATAGTGTCTGAAAACCCCAAGTGATGCTTATTGAATTACTTAATGAACGTAAGGATTCTCGGTAGCACATTTAAACGCAGGGGGATGTAGTAATGAAAGTTTTCAAAATTAAAGCTCTTTCTTTATTAGCCTAGCAGCTGCAGAAACAATGTTTTTAAACCTATTTTCAAATATATGTGAGAAACCTGTTTGTTTGAGGCCCTGCAGTTAGTACTACCGGTACATGTTTAATACGCTGTCATAAAGTCCAACTCCATCACAAAACATCGTGTTGCAGCTCCTACCTCCTTTTCTTAGCTCCTATCCCTTCACCTGTAGTCAACAGTAAGAATACTATCCGAGGTGGAGCTCCTGGACTGAATCCAGACAGCCTTCAGCCTGACAGACACCATTACATGACAGACACGCACATGGAAGATGCTTCTGAAATTAGGACTACAATAAAACTACAAAAAGTTACACAGCTTTAGTGACCGTCTGAAGCTATCCTTTATCAAGTGTGTACATTAGCAATCATTGCTTATGTTGTACATGAAGAAGTCATATATTGATGTGAAACTTTTAGGTGGGCTGTGCTTATATGTCGTATGATGCAAATGATTGTGGATAACCGTATATCTTCTAGGCACCAGATTGGAAAGTCGATCTCTGTGTTCTATAAACCATTAATCCTGCTTCCTTTCCCTATCTCCTACCTTACTGCCAGCATTATTCAGACAACACTTATGGTGACCTCTGGTGCACGCCCACTTTTGTTTAAGTGTCCTTATCGATTTGTACTATTTGGATCAATCCACTTACACCGATACACGTGTGTTCACATGCGGGTGAACATTTTGCACTCCAGCCAGCAGACAGAGAGCACAAACATTTGAAGACAGAGGTGGGGTGGACATGTTAAAAGGTTGAGAATGGTTCCCAAAAGGCTGTAAAGCCATGAAACAAACGTAGATTTTACCAGTCTAACTTCAGTTCACTTTACTATGTCATATTATTGTTCATTTTTTTAAATTCCACTTTAATATTGATGTTTGTTATTTATATTGCTGGCTTATTGCCCCATGCGATATACTTTTGTTTGTTTTCCTGTTATGTTTTTTTTTTTTGTTACATACAGCGTTTTAAATTGTTAAATTGCTACTCTGCAATATAAATAACCTTGTCCTATTTAGATACCAATTATTCCCCTATCTGACCAATCAAGATTCATTTGATTAACTGTTTTAGGCCTACTGTCATGCGCTGGGTGCAGCCTGACAAGTCTTGCTCAGGATCAAGTAAAAAAAATGTGCCACTGCAGGGAAAAACTACTTCCTAATTAAAATGTGCACAGTTTAACTGATGTGAATAAACCTGAGGGGCCAGAGATTTTATTTCACAGCTGAATGGAAACCCAAACTCCCAGATATTCTCCCAGATTTGTTGATAAGCAGTTGTAAATTTAAACTATGTCTAATAAACTGTTTTTTTACTAATAGAATGGAGACAAATTGTATTTATTCTGTGGGAAAATAATCTTCAAATTCATATCAAGGACATTTTCAAGTGTTTCTAAGTGTTTCTTAAATGGCAATGTTATATAAATAGACTTCTCTAAACACTAAAAGACTTGATGAATTGCTTTTGTGTACTATTTATGTTGTCATGAAGCTAATTGAGCATGTCTGGTCCCAGCAACGTATGGGAGAAAGTTATCTGGAACAAATCCCGTTCAGACCCTTAGGCAAATGGAGATTATTAAAATGCATTGGTTTTTCTTTGAGTAGTTGAAGTTTATTTGGAGCTGACCGCACAGTGAATGTTGCTCTTATGCGTATCTCAGATTGCTTTGCAGGAGTCGGTAAACAGACTTCAGTTTTGTGGTTTTTGTTGCCTTTGGATGTGTGTTTCTAGTCGTGCTGCTGGTGAACCTGGTTGACGTCAGCTCCACTAATGATGGGACTGATAGGTAGTCTCACCATGGAGTGCTCTTCATTACATTAATAAAGAGGCAGGTGGCTGTTCAGCATCTCTCTCCTTCTTCAAAGGGACTTTGAACCTGCAGGACCTCCAGTAGCTAATATTTCTTTCTTTTTTTCTGCAGGGTGTGCTAAGGTGGGAGGCATCCACTTCCCGGAGGAACTGCCCTCTGTTGGTGGCGCTTCCCACGTTCATTTCGACGAGAAGCTTCATGACTCTGTTGTCATGGTAAACATGGAGGACGACGGCAACTTCATGGTCAAGGTGGGGTGAATGCAGTTTGTTTATGAAGAAAATTAAATATCTAGAAATAATGTTTTGGAAAAAGACTC